TATGAACCCGTTTAAAACATAAATCAATCATTGTGGTGACACTTACAGTACACAACAGCTAATGTTTTTTTTTGTTGTTGTTGTTGTTGTTGTTGTCATAATAAAAATAATTCTCGTTGTGTTAAATATTTTATAAGCAACATTTGTGTTTTGTAATTTTGTGATAAGTAACTTTTGTTTGGCTGTAGTTTAAAGTTTCTTCCTGTGACCATGAACGCACCATGGCGCAGCTCCGTTCCACCAGGGGGCGATATGGAGCTCGAAAAGGGGAAGCAGCGCGGCGTCACCACAACAGGCTCCAGTCTGGTTGTCATGTGCCATTCAGTCTCGCTGGAGGTCAGCTGACACATCGCCTTCCTGCGTGTGATGTTTACTCTCTTTGTCCTAGCAGCAGTTAATGCAACGTTTTTTTTTTTTTTTTGAATGAATGCGTCGCTATGCTTCAACCCGGAGAATCATGGTAGTCGTGAACTCGGTGTTAAAGCTGTTGCAGAGGCAGACGTACACCTGCCTGTCCCACCGGTATGGACTCTACCTCTGCTTCGGTGGGCTCGTCCTCATGATCGTTTCCGCATTTCAGTTTGGAGAGGTGAGACTCTTCTGTGCTTTAAAGCTCTTGGCACTTTAAGCCTATCACTTTTGTTTTGAGATAAGCTGCTTTTGCAAACAGTTGTTATCAGCGTAACACGAGTCTCTGAAGACTCGTTGTAACCAGACTTCCCTAAAAAAACACGTATTTTTAAGTTGATCTGCTTTTTTTAAAAACAAATATGTATTTTACATAATAAATGATAACGTTTCACGAACCTATTTGGTGTTCAGAAAAATTCGTCGTGATAAGCAACATTACTTTCACTCCTGTTTTTAAGTTACATCTATTTTTTTACGTCCCAGTTTTTTTCTAGAGGACGTACAAAACACGTGCAGTTCTGGTCTGAGCTTTAGGTTATATTTTGGATTCATGTGAGAATTAAGTCGTCTCTGGTCCATACAGGTGGTGGTGGAGTGGAGCCGGGACCAGTACCATGTGCTGTTTGACTCCTACAGGGATAATGTGGGTGGGAAATCCTTCCAAAGCAGGTAACATACATGTTTTTACTTAATTTGCTTGTGTAAAAGTGAAATAAAGTGGTAGACCAGTTTCTTCAAAAATCTATTCTAAATGTCAAACAAGACTGAGCCTTGTGTGAACAAAAACCTAGTCAGACGTGTTAAAAGTGTGTGATTTGAGCTGTATCTTCACTAATATGTGCTTTTCTGTGTAGGCTCTGTCTGCCCATGCCTATCGATGTGGTGTACACGTGGGTGAACGGCACAGACGCAGGTCTGCTGAAGGAGCTGAAGACGGTCAAAGATCAGCTGGAGGAGGAACAAAAAGCTCTGAGGTAGCCGTGGCTGCACCACAGAAGTTTCAGAAGGGCTTGCTTGTTTGCTGAAACTGCGTAAAATGCACAGCTCGTATTTTTACTAACTTAACTCTGTCACCTGAACAGACTAAGCAATGCTTATTGCTTTTATACTGGTTAAATATTTTGGCAAATTATTAGTATAACCTTTCTCAGAATCAGAGTTTTTCAAAATTAATTTCAGATCTAATTGATTTCTGGAGCAAATATTACCTTTTAATTGCCTCTGTAGTCATCTTTAAGCGCTGCTTGCTGTACATCTTGTTAGTGCGGTTAGCAGTCGATCAAGGCTCTCGAGTTAACTAGTTTCTCTCAAACAGGGAACGCCTGGGGAAAAATGGGAGCGACACGACTGAAGTGCCAAAAGACAGGTGAGTGTGACAATAAACGGTATGTTTGAAGCACTGGGGTCTCATGATGTTCAACTCCTGCTCAAATATGCAAAGAAAGGTTGATTCATCTGTCTTAAATAACAAGTTCAAGTAAACTTTATTGTCATTACCATCACATGTGGTACATGAGATGGAACAAAATTATGTACACAGGGTCCCAGTTATACCCCAAAATAGCAACATATAAAGTGTAAAAAGAAACTGTAAATAAGGATCTAAGATATACACTAAGCTAAATGCTAAAACAAATGCCAACGGTTCGCTAAAAGTTATATGCTAAACATTAATAATGTAAAACAATACGGTGTAACAACAGCAGCCCGAACACGAGCAGATGGGTATGAATAAATACTGCAGTATGAGATAATCAGCAGCATGAGATCAGCATGGATATTCAGCAGCATGAGATCAGCAGCATGGATAACCAGTAGTGTGAGATAAGCAGCAGCATGAGATAAGCAGCAGAAAGAGATAAGTAGCATGACTATCAGCAGCATGAGATCAGCAGCATGGATTATCAGTAACATGAGATAAGCAGCAGAATGAGATAAGCATGGATAATCAGCAGCATGAGATAATCAACAGCATGAGATGAGCAGCATGGATAATCAGTAACATGAGATAATCAGCATGGATAATCAGCAGCGTAAGGTAATT